ACACTTCAGGAAGAGAAACGTGAGTGAAAAAGGACTCTGAAGCTTAAGCTGGTCATGCATAATCAATTAAATGTAACTGTAATTTTTATCAGACAAGAATGCTCTTCTGAAAGTAAAAAGAATTGAATTTACTAATAAAATGAGATCTTGGGAACAAAGGGGTTAATTTAATTGTTACAACAGTACTGCATAATTATTTCCTATTTTTTTTTTAATAGGATTTTAGACTTAAAAGTTTTAGCACAAAATAACCCATATTAAGCTTTTCATCTAAAAATTTTTGCTGTTTTAAACAAAGCATAAGTATCCATATATCTTGATATTCACATTGGTATGTCTTGTGGTGAGTTTTTCCATGGCAGTCACTGAATGCTAATCTCTCTCTGTGTACCTTTGAGCTTAGGCACCTGGCCTGTCTTTGAATTTTCTGCCTCTGATCCTGAGGAAGAATTAGCAAAGCTACGGTTGAAACCTCAAGGAATGGAAGTTGAATGAAAAATGCTGTTTACGTAGCTTTGAGGATAGAACTAAACAAAGAATACCTTGAAATGCTCTCAGTTTTTTATGTAAAAGATTACTTTAAAAAGTAAGAAAACTTAACTTAGTTTTCCCTCACTCTGTGCAGTGGTATGAGGAAATAATTATTTTTTACTAGCAACTAGTTGTCCCTCATTCTGTCCTTTGCTACTAGGGAATGTTAAGATGGTAGTGGCTGGGGATGTTGAAACAGTATAAATAATAACTAACAAGTGTAATTATAGTACATGTATATAATAATTTTTTTTTTTTCAACCTTGATCATAGATTATGCATTTAAAAACTTACAGTGCTTTAATTAAGATAAATTTCAGTACTGTAGTATTTACAGATGTTCACTTGTTGGTTTTCCATTTTTATCATCTCTCTTAACTGTTAAAAGTTAAACACCAATTGAATGCTAACATTGGATTGTACACTTTCACCCTTAGTTACTTCACCCTCAGCTGTATATTTCACTACTGGTCATGAAGAAAAAAAAATATTGAGACACGAAACTATGAAACTTCAGAAAAAGAAAAGTATTTTTATAACTGTAATACTGTAAAATAGTTATAATAACTATTATTGTTATTAATAATAGTGAAAATAATGATAGTATCATAAAGTTTATTTAAACTCTGATCATCAATTATGAAACTTCAGAAAAAGAAAGGTATTATTATAAGTGTAATAAGTTTCTTTCTGTAAGAAGTTTCTTGAAAAACTGACATTGATGTATTTTTTAGATAAATTTCATACAAATTTTTAGATAAATTTTCATACAAAGGTGAGTGGAAACAAACCGTGAAGCTAAGGTTTAATCAGATTTAAAATTGTTAAGCAGGAAATAGAATGCTAAGTTGAAATGCTTTTAACAGTCATGACAGC